TGATTATTTTGATGGCACTGTTTTCAGCTAATGGGATGTATATATAAACAAATAAACGTCACTGCAAATGTCATCACAGCAAAGAGACATGCAATTGTCCGCACCTCCAATGGATAGCTGCACATGACACTAGTAAGCCGAACACATGTGCTGCCGAATCCTACACATATCACTGATTCAGAAAGTAAAATTGGAGAGTGAAGTAAGAACAGTGGGTGTGTACCGGTGCTGATGAAAACAGGGGTAAACAGGGGCAAAATGGCATCTTGAAAATAAGCGATTAAAGATTGCTCAAACATGCACAAATCACTCCAAATAAATCTTTAAGATGGTGAATGAGAAAGGGGAACAACTGTAATATGGATAAAAGCTCCAAAACAAATGGTTCTCAAACTGTGGTTCACCTTAAAGCAGATCTGTTGTGCAAAATCAACTTTTCAGAGCTTTTAACCATCTTTTAACCATTTTCATTTACCATGTCATGTAAGTTGTATTTGGAGTGATGTTTGCATGTTTGGGCAATTGTAAGGGATCTAGGGTCAGGGTCATGCACAGAACACAAAATTCAAAAGTTTAGCTTTTATTTAGCTTAAAAAATAAATAAATAAAAAATTACTCAAAATTAACAGTAACTTCAACCCGTAAAAGAGGTCAAAATAACAGTGTTGTAGTGTGATTAAAGAAAGGGATTCCTTATTTAAAGGAGGGGTAACTGATATTACAGATTGGAATTTGAGAGTTCTAAGTTAAAGCAGCACTCACATGGCCTTTGTGAGTTCAGCTTTGACTAGAGCTAGTTTTGGGTCACCACTCAACAAATGTTGACAAATATTACCATCACATACAATATAATAAATTACCTATGTTAATAAATTTATTAATAATTAATTAAACAATTGATCTGAAGATTCGTAAATTCTTGTCCATCTCAGTGACTCATATCTGGAAATGACATCATTATTCACCAAAGCAAACAGTGGTTTATGAATATTTATTGACCAAGTTAAACAGACAGCATTTAAATATGAAATATGCAAATGACTGTAGGTTGCGCTAAACCAGGCATGTCCAAACTATGGCCCGTGGGCCAAATGCAGCCCACCATCATCATCAAATCATCATTGTCATGACATTTAGTTCAGTGATTTACAGCTCAGAATTTTTATTCTGTGAAATAAGACTTGTGGTTTGAGAGATAGTAACTCCTTCCACACTCCCCTGCTGCAGTCTGTGTTCTCACAGACACAAAAGACTCTCCCATCTTCTCAATCTATGTTGTAGACCTATTACATAGAAATACTCAACGGAATGTTTTCTGTGTAAAACGTATGAGATAGAATCTGAGAAAAAGATAGTGTAAATCGCGAGACGCATCATGACGCATGTGCATACACAAGTGCATTTGATTAAAGCCATTGTACAAAAGACAAAAGTGGTTCTAGGGTATTTAAAAGCTCATATTTTGTAATTTCTGGGTCTATCCACATAAAATTAAAAGTGACTAAAAGATAAAACACACTTCTATTAGAATATTTCAGGTATAAGCATATATACTCGCTGCATCTGGGGGGGACAACACTTAAACTGTTTTCCTATTGGGCCGAAATAAATTACAACACAACATGCACGGGGCGAACATGTGTATCAAATCACAACACCCATATCAAACTATTCGATATTTTATCAAATATTGTAGCATCTCTATTTAACGTCTATGTAGAGTGCTATAAATCAATGACAAAAACCAACACTTTAAGAGTACCAACTTTCAGTGCATTTATTGTTGAGTATCTTGAGTATAAGTTATCCAAAAGAGCATTTCAGATTCATGTGTAGTATGTCATCAGTCCATGGCTGAAATTACACAATGAGATTACCACCATAAAGTACATTTATTAAACAAATTTTTGTATGATCTATGGGGAAGACCATTTCTAAACAATGAAACAATGGCATAAAAGTACACTTTAAGAGCACTGTAAAACATAAAGGTACAGTTTGAGAGTACAAGTTCAAGTATATTAACTGAATCTACATTTTAGTACAATGCCTATCGAAGAGCATTTCTGAACCAGTTTGCAGTTTGCTAGATTTTATTTCAAGCTTATGACAGTACAGGTATATAATATTTCATTTACATGGTAAAATCTCACATAGTAGGTTTGCTACATATATTCATATAAATATATACTACAAATCAATATCAAAAATGTACTCTATGAGTGTACCACCTTCAGGTAAATTCAACAAAGGCAAACTCCAAGTGATTTGGAAGTATACTTTAAAACAATAAACTGATGTTATATTTATATTGTGCATCTTAAAAATCTATGGCACCAAGGTACATTTGAGAGCTTAACATTAGGCGCATTGATATGTGGCAATTAGTGTGGTTTATCTGAAAATGCATTTATGTACAATGTGTTTGCAATATATCCATCAGTAGTATGCGATAAATCAATAGCTAATAATGACATTATGAGATTACCATCTTCAAGTACATTAAAAGAGCTTTTCTGAACAGTGCATTTACATTTATTCTAAGTGTGACGTAACTAACAGAGCATTTCTGAATGTGTTTGCAATATATTCATGTGTAGTATACAATGAATGTATTCATGTTTAGCATGGCCTACTATAAATCAATGGCTCAATTCTACACTTAGACTTCATTAACAGTGAGTGCATTAGAGCAAAGAAAAGTTGAATTTCTGTACTGTACATTTGAACCTAGCACACTTGTAATACAGTTTTAGTATACTGTAAATTATTGGTGGCATACAAGTGTACCCATTATAAGCGTGTTTAATCTAAATACATTCTATTAGAGTTGATGTAAAAGTGCTATTTGAAAGAATTCACTTTTAATATATTGTAATGTAGTGTATTACAAATATGTGACAACAATGTACACTTAAAATGCACCAACCTAAAGTGCATTAGGTGGGTTTATACTTTGGTTGTGCTTTTTAACAAATGCTTTATTAAATAGTGTGCTTACAACATGTGGAAAAGTATGATTTAATCGATGTTTATCTAGTATATTTAAGTATGAATACAAACACATTTATGTACTGCTTAATTTCAAATATCTTTGGAAAGAGCATGCTATCAGTATGTTAGAAATATATTCAAAATTAGCACAAACAACACAAGCTTTGACAATGCATAGGAAGTGCATTAAGAATATATAATTTTGTTCAGTTTTTTATTTGGGTTAGTTTGTTAGTTGTTAGTTAGTTAGTTGTTTTAGGACAACTTGGTAAAAAGCTGCATATGTTAAATTATAGGTATTTCGATATTTGGAAAAGCCCAATCTTTTCTTAAGTGGTAGAATAGATTAAGAACTCTACTGAACTAGAGTAACCAGTGTGTTATTTTAATTTACCCAATCGATAAAGGGTAAATACCTCCTGTGGTTGGAGCACATTATTTTGACTGACAGTTGAGTGACAGATTGAGGAGTGCCAGTGCTATTCTAGAAGTTATTTTACCTGGTTTACCTCTGTGTCTTTGTTACATAAATGCATTTTATGATCTGAACACACCTCTCCTCAGTCCACTGTGGCAATCCAATATTCAGACCATTCAGACTCATGACCCATAGAGTGACACTTTGCTGTGTCTCAGTTATCTTTGCTTTGTTCGCCTCCTCTCCCTGTTCCTCCATTTTTCACCTGTCACTCATATGCACCATACTAAAGGGCCCATCTTGCACTATTTTCTGATCTGTAATGTTGTTTCCTTGCCACAAACATACCTGGAGTTGTATTTTGGTTCATTCACACCTGTTTAACACAAACCCTGCATATTTAGAGTTCTTCTCTCAAACAGAAAACACTCTGCCTCCACCTTGTGAAATTATGTGGCAATACAGGAATTGCTCCATTGTGTTTTTAAACTCACACACCTTCACTAGAATCATTTTGATAATTTCAGCCCTGGAATTGACAATCTCTATTGAACTAAAGGTAAAAGGTAGCTACCACATCATGACATCACAAGGTGGAACAGAGCATTGTGAGCTTTGGAAATGCAGACAGACTAATAATGCAGGATTACTCAAACATGTGTGAATGAAACAAAACGCAACTCTGGGTATGTTTTTGAGGAGGTAAGAACATTATAACATGGCTTAAACCTCACATAAGTCAGTTTTGTGTAATATATATATGTATATATATTTATATATAATTTAAGTGCTGTCCCAAACCTCAGAGGAGTTTGAAAAACAAATCTCTAAGTGCTTCAAAAATCACATATAATAACAACAATAAAACACAGATCAGCAGTGACGCAGGCCTATATGCCTTTTGAAATAAAAACAGTTCTAGCTGCCTCGTAAACGCTTCCACTGTCTGTGGTGCCCTCAGGTGTAGAGGCTGTGGAAGTATAAAATCTAAGAATGGCATGCACTATTCAGTTGTATTTATTTTATGTCTGTCCACACAGTGCACCAGTGCAACAGTGTAGCACAGAGTAGGATGAAGTGCACAGTTTGCGTTTTGAGGGGAGCATGGGCCTTCAGGATTTGCAGACAGCCTCCCGAGTGGAATGTGATTTGACCTGTTTAAGAACACAAATCAGCTCACTGGTGTAATTAGAAGCTCAGCTAAGTCAGTTCTTTCTGGTCAGATTGAGTTAGAGCAATGCTCAAATGAGTGTAAAATGAGCCCCAGAGCTTCAGACAGAGCAGTGCCTTTAGTTAGCATCACACCTCAGGGAATGTTGATAACATCAGCTGCAGAGTCTCAAATAAGCAGCACAAGTAGAGGGACAGTAGCAAAGAATAACTGATGTTGAACATGTAGTGCAATCATAGTTAAAGGTGACATTAAACATGCTCTGAATAATTTATCTAATAATACATTTACTGACAGTTTTATGGCTCAACTCTGTCACGTGGCGCCCAGTTTAGCAGCTCTATTTAAATGTGGTTAGGGCGGAGTTGAGGTGTTTGGTCCCACTTTACACAAGTACAAATCATATCCACAGGTAGATCATGTTTAGATTTTATTTTGTTCACAATGAAAAACATATTCAGACAGTGTGTAAAGGATAAATAAAAAAAAAAGTGATGGAAGATTTACAGCTCAGCATTTCCCTGAAATGCTCCATCGTCGACTTCCACAAACCTGAGGGTTCAACATGGTTAAATTGGAACAAGAGTCACAGACCTATGTCACAGCTACATACAGTCACCACATGGGGGCGTAGTTCTTTAGATCGACTAGATCGAATATTAAAGAGCAGCATCGGTCAGATATCACTGTGCATAGAGAGTAAGCCTGTCACAATAATTACTACATCAACTTTTTTGCTAATTTTTTTTCTGAACTATGATAAAATTTGTGCTGAAGAATGTTGAATACATAACTTCAATGGTATAAAATAGCTTCAATATTATTTATCGTCTATATTTCGCAGTTTCAAATTGAGTTATTTAGTTATCGTGACAGGTCTAGTTGAGAGACAGGCCCATTACATGTAGCTCCCCCACACGGCGGCCAAGGCAGCAACACTGAGCACAGACAGGCTCAGGGTGGAGGTGGAGGCTCCGTTCAGGGTCACTGGGTTGCACTTGTCGGTAGAGCAGCACTGGCTCTTGATATTGTACTCTATGCCGATGAATGGCAGGGTACCGTTGGAGGAGGCAGTGTTGTTGACGCAGGTGCTGGACATAGTGCAGCCCTGTTTATTGAAGCCACTGAAGCTCGTGATGGAGGGGAACTCTGAGGAGAGAGGGGGAGGTGCATGTTTCACTTTAATTGTCTGTTTAATTACATTTTATATTTAAAGGTACTGACTTTTTAAATTTAACTATGTAGGCAGAGAAGAGGCAAATACTATAAAATTAGTGTAATAATAATATTTTGATTTAGAATTCCATAAACGTAACCCGTGTCTCCAGATATGATGGAAATGTGTTCAAATCAAATATAGGTTTTAATGCATAACAGTTATAATACTAATTTGTTCTTAAATACTAAAACATGCTGTCCTATTTATGTTATAATTTGGTTCTCAAGACGATAATCTAATCAGAAAACAGAATGAGTCTCACATGAGTCTCTCATTTGGGTTGCCACTTCCAATGCTGAAATCCAATTGGCTTAAAGCTAAAATACCTCTCTCTGATCTGAGTGGTCACTACCTAAGCCCCAGCACCTGCAGTCATCATTTTTCATGAAACAGAGAGACTTGTAAGCACTGGAAAACCTGGTTATACAAGTTTGACAGCCTCATCAGAACAGACCAAACCAGATTGAGTGAAAATGCAGTGATTCATGCCAATGTGATGTCCCTCATTAAGTCTTTAACTGTTACACATGTTTTTCCATTCCTTTATTTAATTGACTCAGTCACGGTTTCTTTAATTATATGTTTGATCCAGAACAAAATGTATTTTCAGCTCTCTCATCTTGGTTTGTTTTTGTAGAGTTTATTGTGAGTGACATGCGCTGTTATAAAACTGGTTCTGTCGCTATCGTATATTCCATATTCAAGCTAGTGCCTACCTCCCCCCTGTCTGTGAATCCCTGTCTGTGTATGAGCAAGACAGAGAAGTAAGAGAGGTTTGTGCTAAAATACATTGACTTACTGGCCTCGGATGTGTAGCAAATGCTGTCGTTGCTGCATGTTATAGTGTCAGAGTTCAGGCAAACCCCCAAAAGTCCAACACCGCAGCTGTTGCAGTCCAGGGACTCAACTAGAAAAAATAAATAAATTAATTAATGTTGTAATCACATTTGAAATATTTATGTTTGAAGCATTTCAAATATATGGTGTTCATCAGTTCCAGCCTCCTGTTATATGAGACATTTTGAGGACTTTTTCCCATTCTAAAGATGTAATATTTTGTTTTAAATTGTTAATCGTCCTGAAAACAGTCCTGATTTTTCCATAGATTTCATTCATTCATTCTAAAACCCATTTGACAGACATGTTACTATCACATTTTAAAGTATTGTAAGTTAAAGTATAATTGAATTCTAGTGACTAAGTTAGGTCAGTGTTTTGTTTTTTTAGCAGATTTTTTTTATCTAAATTGGGTAGAAAAATAATTGTATTATTTTTTGACACTTGTGTGAATGAAATAAGTAGTAATAATACAAATAATAATTATTGTTTAATTAACTCAAAACCAATTAATTCAACTGTCTTTTCATTTGAGCAACGGCATCTCAGGTGGACCACACCCAGAGTCATTCTTTAGCCATTGTAAGCTAATCCTTGAGCTAAGTCCCACCTCTTTGGTCAAATAACCAATTGTTTCTTATCTAACGTCTGTGTGTGGACCGACTGACAGTGCTGTTGTCATGGCGATGCCTATAGCAGCCCAAACAATACATACAATACAATCAGTTTAATGATGCACTGTAATTATAATTAACTTAGCCAGCAAACAATATGTAGATTCTTTAGAGTTACATTATTAATTGCTATGGCAACTGTTCTAACTTTGATTTCAAAATGTCAAAATACAACAGTTTTTTTTCTAATTCCCAACAAAACAAACCAGAACATTTTGAATTATTTTTAAAACTTTGTCTTACCAGTGACAAGGCAGGCGAGCGCTGCGACAATTCCAATCAGGATCTTGGCCATTTCTGTTTCTAGTTGTTTTTAAGGTGCTGAAAGTTTAAAATCCTGCTTGCGATGTGCGTCTGTAGGCTGGAAGCTGAAATGATACTAGCTGGACCCAGTCAGTCTTTTATAGGAATGAGCAGCGGAGCAGGTCGGACCAGAACTCAAGACCTGAGGGAGTGGACTAAGGTCTCTAATATGGAAGGAATGTCAGGTATGGGGTTCATGGGGCTTTACCAGTAGGAAACAGATGCTATCGCGACTAAAGACACATAAAGGTATAGATTTTAAATGGTGTACAGTTTTGAGAAATAAAAGAAGTCATTATTTAAGAGCGGTCTCATCCTTCAAAACTCAAGCAACGAGAATTTTAACTTTTATTATTAAGAAAAGCTTTGTTGTTTAAAGTAATAGATGTTATTTTGTGATTTAAATTATTTTGGCGCTATGGGTTTTTGACATAATGTTGTACAATAGTGACGAAGAAGAAAGAAGAACTAAATATTGTCTTAAGTGTTTGTTTTTTTTAATATATAGCTTAGAAGACAATATATAACATGTTTACTTATTTTATTCATTTGTGTTTTGACAAAAAAGTTTTACAATTTCAAAAAACTAAAGATGATTTGTGGGTCAAAATATACATAAAAAATCCAACTAAAACCAGAAAGAATGACTTGCGTAACTTTTCTGGTGGAAGTTATGACACCTGTTAAGGAAAGTCCCGCCAATTGTTCTCCAATCTAAATTTGTGTTGTGTTGTGTTTTGTTTCATTCACACTCAAATCCTGCATATTTAGGCTGAGTGTTTTTTTTTCTTAATTCCATAGAATATAGAATTCCATATATTTACAGTTCATTTGTCTTCCGTATGTATCTAAAATGTAAAAAAGAAAAAAAAAAAAACATTGAATGAGATGCAGGAACTAACCCAAAAGCGATGATGTAGGTGTTTACCCTATAGTTTTTATGAGTCACAGCTATTATGCATTTCTTTTCTAGTATAGTTATTATAGAGATATTTATGATTTGCTCAACGTGTTTTTCTTTTTTTTCACAGACTGCAACTGGAATGGTGCAACTATGATTTCTAAAACCTGTCACTTTATAACACCTGTCATGCTATATAACACCTGTCGCTCTATATAACACCTGTCACCTTATATAACACCTGTCGCCCTATGTAACACCTGTCGCTCTATAACATTTGTCACTGTATAACACTTGTCACTCTATAACATCTGTCATTCTATATATCACCCATCGCCCTATAGCTCCTTCAAAACTCTGCAGCACGACTGCTGACAAGAACCAGGAAGCGAGAGCATATCACCCCAGTACTGAAGTCTCTGCACTGGCTTCCTGTGAGCTTCAGGATAGATTTTAAAGTTCTTTTATTAGTTTATAAAGCTCTTAATGGTCTTAGTCCTATTTATTTATCTGGTCTGCTTTTATCATATGAACCCTCTCGGACTCGCTATAACACCTGTCGCTCTATATAACACCTGTCGCTCTATATAACACCTGTCGCTCTATACCCTGTCGCTCTATAACACCTATCACTTTATAACACCTATCACTTTATAACACCTTTCGCTCTATATAACACCTGTCGCTCTATAACACTTTCTATCACTTTATAACACCCTGTCGCTCTATATAACACCTGTCGCTCTATAACACCTATCACTTTATATAACACCTGTCGCTCTATATAACACCTGTCGCTCTATATAACACCTGTCGCTCTATAACACTTATTATACACCTTCGCTCTATAACACCTGTCGCTCTATATAACACCTGTCGCTCTATATAACACCTGTCGCTCTATAACACTTATCACTTTATAACACCTGTCGCTCTATATAACACCTGTCGCTCTATAACACTTATTACTTTATAACACCTGTCGCTCTATATAACACCTGTCGCTCTATCACCTATAACACTTATCACTTTATAACACCTGTCGCTCTATATAACACCTGTCGCTCTATAACACTGTCGCTCTATCACTTATATAACACCTGTCGCTCTATATAACACCTGTCGCTCTATAACACTTATCACTTTATAACACCTGTCGCTCTATATAACACCTGTCGCTCTATAACACTTATCACTTTATAACACCTGTCGCTCTATATAACACCTGTCACTCTATAACACTTATTACTTTATAACACCTGTCGCTCTATATAACACCTGTCGCTCTATAACACTTATCACTTTATAACACCTGTCGCTCTATATAACACCTGTCACTCTATAACACTTATTACTTTATAACACCTGTCGCTCTATATAACACCTGTCGCTCTATAACACTTATCACTTTATAACACCTGTCGCTCTATATAACACCTGTCGCTCTATAAACACCTGTCGCTCTATATAACACCTGTCGCTCTATAACACTTATCACTTTATAACACCTGTCGCTCTATATAACACCTGTCACTCTATAACACTTATTACTTTATAACACCTGTCGCTCTATATAACACCTGTCGCTCTATAACACCTATCACTTTATAACACCTGTCGCTCTATATAACACCTGTCGCTCTATAACACCTGTCGCTCTATATAACACCTGTCGCTCTATATAACACCTGTCGCTCTATATAACACTTTATAACACCTGTCGCTCTATATAACACCTGTCACTCTATATAACACCTGTCACTCTATAACACCTATCACGTTATAACACCTGTCGCTCTATATAACACCTGTCGCTCTATAACACCTATCACTTTATAACACCTGTCGCTCTATATAACACCTGTCGCTCTATAACACCTATCACGTTATAACACCTGTCGCTCTATATAACACCTGTCGCTCTATATAACACCTGTCACTCTATATAACAGCTTCACTCTATAACACCTGTCACTCAATAACATCTGTCCCTTTAAAGCACCTGTCACTCTATATGGCTGAAAGGTTTTCATTCTGCACTCTTCTCTCTCATTCTTTCTCATTTAATGTCTCTTTCTTTTGATGAATTTTATGATTATTTATGTTTTGATTTGTTTGTATTGTGATTTTAATGTATTGAATTACTTTGTGTACTTTGTGTGCCTTGCCTATAATATCCATCACTATATAACACATGTCCTTTTATAACGCTGGTCAATCTATAACACCTGACACGTTATATAAAACTTGTCACTCTATTACACCCATCGCTTTATAAAACTCATCACACAATAGCACCTTTCCTTCACATAACATCACATTATAAAACTCGTCACTCCTGTCACTTTAAATAAATACTTCATGCACTGCTGGTTTTGCACGTGTCCTGTTCATATTGTTTTGCTTTTATATTCAATCACATCTGTATTTTTTTTCCTAAATGGATTCTTGTGAGCTTTGAGCCATGTTAGAATGTTGTTGCATCCTCAAAAACAACTGGTGTTATAATTTGTTTCATTCACACATGTTTTGGAAACTTGTATTATTAGTCTGTCTAAACCAAAGCTCAAAATGCTCTGTATGCAGTAGTTTTCTTTTACCTTTTGTTCAGTAGAGACTGTCAATTCCAGGGTTAAAATTATCCAAATGATTCTAGTGAAGGTGTATGGAGTTTAAAAACACAGTGGAGCACTTCATGTATCACCACATGACATAGCGTGATTTCAGTTTGAGAGAAGAACTCAGTCTAAATATGGGTCCTTTAATCTCTTATTTTAATGTACTTTTTATTTATTATTACCTGTATTGCTTTGCGTTAAGTTGCCAAAGCACATTCCTACTTTCACTGACAGTAAACCTTTCTAATTCTGATTTGCATGTAATAGTTTTTGTAGGAGTATAACAATTTTTGAAAAGCATCCCATCAGATTGACAACATCACAAAAGTTATCAGAGCCTCCACTTGAGCTGAGTGATAGAACGCGTTATCATGTCAGATATTTCAACAGATTCACTCCTCTTCATGTATGAGGAGAGACAGATGATAAATGCCAGTCAGTCTGTGTCTACTAAACATTTATTATAATCAAATATAACACTTATAAAAATTAAACAGTAACTAAAATAGGATTGATTAATTATTTTGATGTCTGATTTGTTCCGAATTAACTTCCTAAAAGGGCCCATGTTACACAAAGTGAAGTACAGGAAGTGCTGCACTGTGTTTTAAACTCCACACACCTTCACTGAAATCATTTGGATGATTACAACCCTGGAATTTCCAATCTCTACTGAATAAAAGGTAAAAGGTAGCTGTTAACTTGAAACTACCACCTCATGACATCACAAGGTGGAACAGGGCATGTCGAGATGTGAAGATGTAGACTAATAATAAAGAATTACTCAAACATGTGTGAGGTACTAGTATGTTTTTGATGAAGTAACAACATTATAACATGGCTTCATGGATCACAAGATCAATTTTGTCTAATTGAACCTTTAAGGCTGTAAACTAAGGTGTAGTCTTTGTATTTAACAATGTAGCCCAAAGTAAATACCATATCTTTTTAAAGTTTATGCCAGGGAATCTGATCTGAATCATCTCATCTATCATCGTCAGCTTGAGTTGGCTGTGAGCCTAAGTACATGGAGGATACTAGTTTGATTACATTACAAGCCTGTTATCTGATTTTTACTGTCTTACAAATTTGAAAAAATAAAACAAGTTCATTTGAGGTGGTCCAGAGTTATTCCTTGTGCATTCTGAGGATCCTAATTATTCACCACAGTGTTTCAAAGCATTTTTCACAACTTTCAGAGGCCAGAGTGGAGTATTGCAGTCACAGTAAAGCTTATAACTATCATGCTAATCACTCATTTTCCACATCTCATTCAGTATTATACTTTATAATTGCAGATAATACGCAGCAGACTTAATTTGACCTCAAGGGCTGCTTATACAGTACAGTATATTTGTACTGGGGCAAGACCATAGGCCAACAAAGAAAAAAATCAAGTACAGGGAATTTTAATATTTTGTGATGTAAAGGGCTCTTGGGGATTTGTGACTTTATATTTTTAAAAGCAAAAGTTCAGTGTTCAATGTATTTTTAAGAAACAACTCATAAATCAATTATGAATCAAACATTTAAGAAAAATTCAACAAAAAACAAAACTCTAGAATAATTAGGTTAGACAAAGGTGTACTATATGTAGCTTGTTTCCATGCAAATGCTATTGCTTTGCCTGGAATATTCCACAGTAAAGCATTAATCTTATCTATCTCCAGGGAGGCATGCAGCAAGCAAACATTTCTAGAAAATTTTGAACAAAAATCGGCATAAATTTAAACTAACGAAGACTAACCAGGACTAATGTGCGGCTAAACCAAGTTAAAAACCAGGACTAGACTAAAACTAATCCAGGAATTACCAGTGTACTAGTGTGTAGTTTACAACAAAACCCTAAACCAATTTAAAGGTGTACTGTGTAACATTTCTGCTGGTGACTTACAGATACCAACTAATTTCTGTGGAGATGCTATTGCCTTGTCTGGAATGTTCTGCAGTATGGCATTAAACTTGTCTTTATGAGGACAAGTAGGTGACACTCACAGTAAGCTGTTTTTCAAGGCAATAAAAACTCTTCTAATTGGTAGGTTTATTGTCATAGTGTCAAACATTCCAACCAAGACAATAACATCATGGAGACAAGTTAAGTATCCTCACCTGAAATGGTAGAAAAGACAGCTCTAATTTTGATTAGGTTTGGATGTCCTCCCAGATCTGTGTAAGGGGCTCACTGAGCTCATCTAGAGTCTGAGGAGCAACCTGACAGCATCTGATGGACCAAACATAATGTCCCAGAGGTGTTCTATTGGTTTTAAGTCTGGTGATCATGAGGGCCATTCAACTGCATCAATCCCTTCATCCTCCAGGTACTGCCTGCAGACTCTTGCCACATGAGGATTGGCATTGTCGTGCATCAGGAGGAACCCAGGACCTACTGCACCAGCATAAGGTCTGACAATGGGTTCAAAGATTTCATCTCGATCCCTAATGGCACACACAATGCCATTTTATAGTTGGTAGAGGTCTGTGCCTTACTACATAGATATGCCTCACCAAACCATCACTGAGCCACCACCAACCATGTTGCAGGCAGCATAGCAGTCTCCTTGTCTTCTCCAGGCTCTTTCATGTTCATCACAGGTGTTCAGGATAAACCTGCTCTCATCTGTAAAAGGCACAGGGCACCAGTGGGCGGACTTGCCAATTCTGGTGTCATCTAGCAAATGCCAATGGCGCTCCACGGTGCTGGGCGTTGAGCACAGGGCCCACTATAGGACATGGTGCCCTCAAGCCACCCTCATGAAGTCTGTGTTTAATTTTTTAGAGTAGTGTATTTGTATACTTTGGACACATCCTTTCATTCAATATTTAGTACCCCAAATTTATAAAGCAAGATATATGGAATTATGTAGTAAAGAAAAATACCTATTTGTTTATATTTTATATTCAAATGCTTAGTGTACCCACCCTTTATTTTGCAAATCCTTAGCCTTTTCTCAGTGATGTTCCCAATGAAGTCCCTGAACTGGTTTTCACTTGGCCACTGTGCTGCATCAGGGTTAGTAATGCCAAAAGGGCAAATCACTGGTCAAAGCAAAGGGTGGATATTAAAAACTAGTTGAGTATTTGTTGTTTGCTACATTCCACATGTATCATAGATTTGACGCCTTCAGTGAGGGTCTACAATGTAAATAATCATGGAAATGAAAAAATGAAAAACAATCCAAACTTTGGCCTGGCAGTGCATGTGTTTGTTTAACTCAGATTGTGACACTGGTCTTTTGAAAGCAGCTTAACTTCTGTTTGGGTCTAAAGCAATGTTTTGTTAGGATTCAAACACATACAAAGCAGCAGAGAAACCACCACGAAGGGGACAGTCATGAAAAACCAGTCCAACCAGAGCTAGAGGAGGAGGACATCTGAGACGAAACTAAGAACACACACACACACGATCCCAGTTTGGTCTTTATTAAAACTCCAATTAAACAAAATGAATATTCAGAACAATGAGTCATTCAAATCCACTGCCATTTCAAATACAAAATATTATCATGAGGCAGAGACTAGACTTTATGTGTAAAATTTAGCTAAATTTTACCCCATGTTTATTTACAAAAGTAAATTCATAATTGAAAAACAAATCAGATGTTTGCAAAAAAGATGGCACAATTTGAAATGGATTTAACAAAATGGCATTCTACTTTTTAAACCAATAAAACAAGAAATAAAGAATTGGTAAAAACAATTCAGATAAATATATTTAAGACCATTTAGAAGAGCTTAACATGATTGAGGATGCACCAATGAAGAACACATTTTAGCTTTTTATTACTAGGAGAAAACTATTCTCTAAATATTTGATGGACTAAATCACTAATAATAGTCAGATTGGCAAACACGAGAAGTGTGGATTAAAAAAAAAAAATCTTTGGACAAACAAATTAATGTTTAGGGTTACATCATCATGCAGATACTAGTCTACTATGGCTTTGTGTTTTGTAACATTGTGAATCTTAAAACAGTGACATGATCATATTGTAATTTTAGAATTGTTTTAAGTGTAAAAATATGGTTTTACAGATACTATGGGTCATAAGTCGTGCTAGTCTAACTATTCACAAGACTACACCTGTGCAGAAGTTCATACAAAAACATTTATTAAAAAAAAAAAAAGGATATTTAAATATATTTATATAAAGACAGATTGAATTTGTGAATCATGAGTTTAATCTGTCTTTTTACACATCACTAGGTTTCAGTTGACATCCCTGCATTCTATAGATCAATATTATTCATTAGAGATGAGGAGCGGCTAAAATTAAAATAGCTAAAATGGAGATTCATTCTATAATACACAAAATTCTTGGGTCTAGTCATTAATAGAAACAATCAGGTTCAACATGTATGCATTTAACTTTTGGATATTTCAATGTAAAATTATGACGTGGTTACATTCTAAAATCTGAAAACCACCAATAAATACCAAAGCAAAGCAAATCTCCTGGTAACTTCTCCTTTCTGCTGTTGTCACATATAAATCCTTAAAATCAAATACAAATTTGAGTCAATTAAAAAGGATTAACCGACTAAATGACAACAGCCCTAATTATAAATATTCATAGGTTGTTTTTTGGGCATACTTTATGCTTACAAGTATTCATAGTTTGTTACACTGTGAATCTTCAAGCATCAATTGACAATTCATCTTAGGTGACTTAGACTTAAAAAAATTTTTGGCATCATTCAATGTATTCTCTCATATATGACAAATGTCTAAGATTCATTGCAAGTCCTCAGTGGCTTTGTTCACATGCACACCAAAAGCTGATTAAAATAAAAAAAGAAAGAAAAATCTTATTTCTGGATCTTTAAGTTTATTTAAATGGCATGCAAACTACAAGATTTGATGCAAATAATCCGACTGAGCATATTCAGAAAGAAATATTTGTATTTTGCAGTTTACATTTAATTTTAACAGATTTAGAACTCCAAACATCTGATAATGCTCTCATTTTGGGTGTACATGTGACCATAGCCAGTGTAGTCTAGATCCCTTTATGAGGCTTGTGTGTGTGTTTGTGTGTATGGAGATAGACAGTGACATTGGTGCATTCTGAGGTTGGGGATTAAAACAGGGCGTTTGCAGCGAACACAGCGGCGACAGAGGCCAGGGTAAGCTGCAGTGCCCCGGGGAGAGTAGTGGGGGCGCTGTTGCACAGGTCGGTGTTGCAGCAGGTCTTGGTCATTTGGTAGACCGTGGTGTTTCCGGACGAGGGGAAGGTGACGGTGGAGGTTTTGTTGCAATCGGCAATAGCCAGGCATCCCTTCATAGAGATGTCCATAAACCCAGCTACACAGACAGAGAACAGAGGAGTCACACCATTAGAATGTTTTACATTTCTCATCTCTAAAGGTCAAAATGCTCTGTTCACCTGGACATGTCATGAAGTGGTGGTTTAAGATAATGGCTACCCTATATATACACACTCTGGTTCAGTGGAGATTCCAGAACTAAACTCATGAGTCACTTCCTGCATTACCACATGACATCACAAGGTAGAACAGACTCAGCCTAAATATGCAGGATTTGTGTATAAATGTAACAAAACAATGAGGAAACATAATCAGAAAAAACATAATGGCCCTTTAAACACATTGAAAAACACCAACTTGTTTTCACTTTTGTGATTAGCTCACGTCACATAATTTAGTTCCAGAGATTAATCAAATATTTGTATAAACAGTGAAGGAGGAGCTGACAGGAAACTAGGCTTTATTTAGACTTCATTTTCTTGTTGATCTAGATTGTCAAAGCGCAGCCAAAATATACAGGAGATTTGTATTTTTTTAAGTGTTCAGTTATTTACTGCCTAAGTTTTCATCACGTCACCGATTGTTTTAATAAGAATCATGATATTGCTTTTTTGTTGTGGGTCAATTAAAATACATTTTTCTGATTGTTTAAACCTTGTTATGACAAAATTAATTATTGTCATATGTATGTCTAAATAACACAATAGCCATGATTAGACCAATACCATTTCTGGCCCTAGTTATGACTCTGGTTGTTGTAACAGTTAGGAATTACCTCTGCTTCAGTCACCTGCTGCCTGTGTCCAACCAGGAAGTATCAACTAGAAAACTAGGCAAGGTCTATAGTCTTCTTGTTAACCATGCTTCCGTGAAATAAGCAGCCCAACCGGTCATGTGCACTTAAAGTTCAGGTCGAAGTTTAGTATTGTTCTCGGACTGTTTTGGATGTTTTGTGAATGAGCGAAGGTTCTGGGATTTTCTGATCTTTGGTGGAGACCTGGTTTGTTTATGTGCAGAAGTCAAAGCTGTGAAGATGACATGATCAGACTGAGAGGAGAATAGATCAGACATCACACGATGTTCTCAGGATTAAAACTTCAAGACATGTGGATTCTCATGTACTGATCATTTTAAAAAGAGCCAAATAGTAAACTTTTGAATTTTTATGAAACTGTAGCATCCTGGATACAATTTTATTATTTTCTTGTGTTAATCAAAAATTCTGTTAATTCAAGGGATATGGGTGCTTGTTCTGTTTTCTTATCTAAACTATAGCACTTTTTATTTAAAATCTTTTTCTGAAACTTTATAAACCGCTGAGTTATTAAAACATTACACCAAATCTTGTTTTAAATGTTTTTTGGATGTAAAACAACAGTTACGGGTATTAGTTAGCATGTAGCTGCTTGGCCTCCACAATGTCTTTGAACTCTTAACCTTTTAATTTTTCTATGGGAAAAGTGAGTGGAAAATGTACTTCTGAAACCGGAACAGATTTTGAAGTGGGCTGTTGAGCTCCATGCATCTTATCAGTTTTGTGTAGGGTTGTCAAAGGAGATACTAATCTATGCCAAAAAGCACATAAACAGGACAAAATGTGACTTTCTTCAATGGTCGGCTCTTTCTGGTCAGAGCTTCAGACAGTGCAGTGCTTACAGTTGGCCTCACACCCCCAGGGAATGTTCAAAGGATCAATAATGTCATTCTTTCAGTGCTAAACACACATGTTACTGTACCTGCTTTCCCTCTGCCGCTGAAGCACTGCTCTCCAGAGTTGCAGGTGACCTTTGAGGTGATGCACAGGTTCCAGAAGCCCACCTTACAATTGTAGCACTGCAGCGCCTGGACTGGACACACAAACACAACAGTGAACTCACTACCTCACAAAAGCTCAGATATGATATTTCACATTAAAGGGTCCAGATTATGCAATTTCCTTGTTCTAATGAGGTTTCCACATCAAACAGACCTGGAGTTGGATTGTTTCATTCACACACGTTTAACACAAAAACACTGCATATTTAAGATCACTTGTCTCAAAAGGATGGAAATTCATGGAAATGCCAACCTCTACTACACTAAAGGTAAACTGTAGATGTTAACTACATTTTCATGACATCACAAAGTGAAAGAGCATTTTGAGCGTTGGAGATTTAGACAAACTAATAAAGAATTACGCAAACATGTGAATGAAAAACAAGTCCAGGTTTGTTTTTGATGAGGTAACATAGTATGGCTTAAAGCTCACAGGAGTCAATTTTGCATAATATCGGACCTTTAAAGAATAATTATAATCTCATAAAAAATGCCTTGTATATAATTAAAAATTCATGTTGATTGCTGGTTTTTGCTTTCAATTTGCATTAGACAGAAGGTTTCCTGAATTTCTGAAAGGTGACAACTCACAGAATTGACTAAACCTCTTTGTAATTGGTGAAAAGCTCCTCTAAATTTAACCTGTGAAGACATGTACACAGTTGTGTGGGTGCCAAAAGCTCTAAAACACCAAAGGTTTTCCTGATCACTGAGTGTCTGATTATCATTTTTACTTCCTGGTTTACACAGACACAAAAAAGACAGATCTGTATGACTGGAATCATCCTCTGCCTCTTACTCACCAACTGCTTGTGTACTATGATGTCAGAGTCTCATAGTTTTTGTGGTAGTATTTTAAAATGTACTTTCACTGGCCATGTATTTCTGTATAACTTACAGAAGTGATGAATAAATTATGCTTCAAGGAATTTTAATAATTTTAAATGAAAAACAAAATCTTACAATGATTGCTGGTAAAACTTTGCTCAATCAGCTCATTCGCAGTTAAAGTTGTTTAAGTGTGGCACCTTTTTAAAAATTTATTTTATATTTGGGGAAAGGAAAAATGGATTGAATTCTCAGGTGGAAGTCCCTAAAAGGGGTGCTATGTCTAGTCTAAGGCGACGGGACACAAAGGTGAAATGATCAGAATGTCCCTCAGGTCAAAGGTCACATTCTAGGTAACGTCATACATTTGTAAAAGAATGTATGAGTAAAAGGGAAAATATCTGGATCTTTAAGTTGATGAAATTGCAAAATTAAACCATACTGACAAATGAAAAAAAAAATATAAAAAAAGGGATGACACAATATTCAGGTTTTAGCTTCCGGTTATATGCTACACTGAATTTTAAAATCACTATGGCAACGGTCCTGATTTGTCATCATTCTAAACTCTGATGAATTCAATTATATGGCATTGTTGTAATATACTCAAGTCCAAAAATGTAATTTATTCCTCACTTTCTAACCAAAAACAAAAGTCAACACATTTACAAAAGTGAAAAATAAAAGGTCCTATTTTACACATTGAATCTTGTGATCTTCTAGTCATGTTATAATGTTACCTCCTCAAACACACACCTGGATTTGTGTTTTGTTTCCATACATGTTTGAGTAACCCTTTATTATTTCTCAGTCTACATCTCCCAAGCTCAAAATGCCGTTTTCCACCTTGTGATGTCATGAAGTTCAAGTTAACAGCTACCCTTTACGTTTCATTCATTAGAGATTCACAATTCCATGTCTGAGATGATCTAAATGATTCTAGAGAAGGTGGATGGAATTTAAAAACACAGTGGTGCACTATTTGTATTACTACATGACGTCACAAGGTGGAACAGAATATGCAGAGGGTGTGTTAAATGAAACAAAACTCCAGGTATGTTTTAATGAGGAAACAAAATTATAACAGATCAGAAAATATCAGAAAATATAGCCCCTTTTATTTTTTTATTTTATTTAATTAAGCCCATATACTATTTTACCTACAAGTTAAACATTATAAAAAGGTAATGTTATGGTAATTTTACAACAATAGTACACTGCTTATGACTCATAATGACAGCAGAAGCCATTATACTAGACCAATACAATCTGTGACTTTCCACTGACAGTAAGATCAAGGCTTTGACGTACGTCAGGGCATGTAAAATTCAAATATGACTTAGGCAAAAATCATTCAAGCAAGACGTGAATGGAAATAACAAGTAGATGAGTTAGAGTTGCATAAAAACAAGCCAGTCCACTGATGTACTGAATTATATGAAACACACAAGAGGAAGTGACTCAAACACATCATGACAACTACATATAGCTATCGTTTCATATCATGTATGAGACTGAGACGGATGCATTCTTTATTTTACCACACGGCAGAATGATTGAGGAAAAATATATGACAAATATGGTGACAGAAATGTGTGGTTTTTTGATCATAGGATTCTGTTCAAAGTTCATATTTTAAACTCAAGATTGATTCCTGTATTCACCTGATAGTTGATAGTTCACATTTTGGGACATGTTTGTGCAGATTTAAACTATAGCTGTAGGTGCTTTTATGCAGAATCAGATAGATTTAGTGGTTTGGAAGAAAACACAGTATTTGCCAATTCCATCCATTCAATCTGCAATTTTTATTAGATTTTAATTAAAAAAGGGCCAATATTACACCGTTTTCTGATCCATGTTATGATATGTCCTCAACAAAAACATACCTGGTGTTGTGTTTTGTTTCATTCACACATGTTTAAAACACACAAACCCTGCAGATTTAGGCTCTGTTCTTCTCTCAGACAAAACATTCTGTGCTCCATTGTGTTTTGAAACTTGATACACCTTTGCTAGAATCATTTGGATAATCAGTCCTGGAATTGTCAGTCTCTAATGAACTTAAAAAGGTAAAAAGGAGCTGTTAACTTCAAAACTACTGCTTCATGGCATCACAATGTGGAACAGAGCTTTTTTTGCTTTGGAGACACAAACAAAACTCCAGGTATATATTTCTAGTGAGGAAACATAACATCACTTAACTTCATTTTGCGTAATATAGGATCATTCATCTTCCAGCTACAGTTTTATATACTTCACTAATTAAATGATTAAGCACTACACCTAGAGATTAAAAACAGATTTCCCCAGCATAAAGGGAATGTTTATTTACATCACATTTCGTACTTGGATTTATTGCGTTACACTGTACAAATGACTGGTTATATCTCCATTATTGACTATACATTAGCCACAGTGTTCCAAATGGCCACACCATGAGAATATCAAACAGCATTAACATTTTTTATTCATTCGTTCCACACCTCCTAAGTTTCGGTCACACCCAAATCTACAACAATCCCTGCCACTCCAAGTTCTTTCATTTGGTGTATTTAATGTGCATATAGTCAGAGTTACATCATAGTTAAGAACATAACTAAAACTGCTAAAGTAAACTGCGTTTTCTTTTGAATAAATGAAAAACTCCTCGCCTCATGTGACCGTCATAGGTCGCGCCCGATTGACTTCGATTGTTTAAAATGTGGATGGACACGTTTTCCCCCCAGTTCTGGATCCAGTTTGACGTGATGTGGAGGCAGTCATCTGAGCTTTTGTACCAGTGGTAATTACAGTAGCAGCATTAATGAGGGTAACGTGTTTGTGTAGTCAACCACAAGGAGACTAATTGGTCCTCACTGAACAGACAACTAATGAACAGTGTGAGTCCGTGTTTGTGCTGCTACTGTACAATAAGTGGTAAAGGAAACAAACTGGGTTTAAAATGTGTTGAATGCAGGGTCACACACAGGATTAACCAGGACTGAAGAGATTTGAAGGAAACAGGATTTACATCACTGAGGGTGGTTCAATTGTCTTTGTTGGGTTCTGGTTTGAATTCTGATTATAAACAAATGTAATAACATTCTAACATATTTGATATTAATGAATATTCTAAAGTAATTTTCGAGTCAAGTCATTTATATAGCACATTTAAAAACAACCGTAACAAGCTGCATCAAAGTGCTTTACAATAAGAAACATCACATAGTAAAAACGACGAAACAAATATAATAAAATACATAAAGTCCATTAGCACGGCAATAAGATTTTAATAGGACTATTCTTATTTGATTCCTACAGGATTAGTCCCAAAATCAAATGAGAATTGTCTTATTAAAACCCTAATGCAATCCAAACCAACTAGGGAATCCAGTTTAGTTCAGATTAGGACTTTGTTTGATCCTGTTCTCGTCATGGTTTAGTTCTGGTGTAGTCCAGGTTTAGCACTAAATTTAGTCCCAGTTTAGTCCTAACATTGATATGGCCTACATATAAAATGCACCATAAAACCAGGACTAAAAAAATCAAGACTTGCTCTGAATCAGGGCTGTAACATCTTATCTACATCACGACTTTCAGGTTTTGGCACCCATCCATCGTCATACCAATTATATGCAATTAAAATCAAAATACGATCTTGATCTATAATGAAATCTTTGAATGGGGAAAAGCCCTAATTGGGTTCTCACAAAGTCCTTCAAATCAGGAAAGAGCTGTTCTTCTGAAACCCATGAATAAGGCAAAAACTAAACCAACTCATACCACCACAAGACCATTGAAATGTACTAGCATGCACCAGTTTAAGTACCTTTGCATTATAGCTACTTTGTCTAAAAGATTATGCCTGGTATTCAAAACAGAACTGACACAATATTCAAATTTGATAGGATGTGCAGTATGTTTGAAGTTTCTAGACCAAGAATCTGAAACATGTGAATATCACTGTAGGCCACTGTTCTTAAGACAAAAGCAGAAAGGATTAAAAAAAAAAAAAATCACTTTCTAATATCGTATCGACGGCACAGATCTCTTTATATGTTCTGATAAAAAGTATAAAAAATACCAATGAACTCATCCTTGAATCTCAACACTTAGTTTGAGTTTTTATTAAAGCAGCAAGCATCACAGATCGTAATGACACGACCGCTATGATCGCCATCTCTTTTACACTAAGTTGAACTCGTTTGTCAAGTAGGTGACA